TACGGGATTGGGCAAAAGTTATCCAACTTAGGTGGCCCTTTCCCTACTCTATATGTACAGACATTGATTATACATATATATACACATATACATACACACATACATATACATACGTATACAGAAATACAAACATATACACATAATCATACATACTCATACATGCACACACATACTCATATACATATGCACATATTACATTTATAGTAACAAAGAGAAAGGTATTTACACAAGAACATAACATTGTCTTTGTACTGTTTATGTCAACTATGGATATCTTGTGTGGCCTGACCAATCTGTTTTCTTGTATTAATACAGTTCTTGGCATATCACTGTCTGTACACTATTACAGTAACCATGGTAACAAGTATTCACTTATTGTCTTTGTGTTAGAGATTAATGGACAGAGAATAGAGAGAATATACATTATTTGACCAGTTAACATGGTTAACCATTTGTTAACAACAGCTGTTGTACGTTCCCGGGGCGGTGGGGTAGAGTAGTGTTCAAGTGTTGGCTCATCACACCGAGATCTTGCTTTAATTCCCCACATGGCGCTACTTTGTGTAAAGCCCATTCCTGGTGTCCCCTGCCGTCGTATTGCTGGAATATTGCTAAAAGCAGGGTAAAACCATACCCACTCACTATTACCTTTGTACAGTTTTCTGTTTCTGATTAAAAGAAACACTGTGGCTGTATAGTTAAAGTAAATTTGAATTATCTTCATTTAACTTTGGAAGTTGGAAGCTTATGACTGAATATTCTAGAAATGTGTCCTTTGTGCAAAAAGCTTATCTTTCCAGTTAGTAGAAGATCTGTAAGGCTAGGACATCTTCATGTTTATAGTATTCATATTTATTTCATGCAATTCATAATACTCAACAATTTAATACCCTCGCATGAACAGATTAATAAAAAAACAATAATAGGATGTACTTCTTTTAACATGTTATCAAATTATTTGCCATTACTCAGTTTACTTTGAGGTGCTTGTATATATATAATCTAGTTTTGTTAATGTTAAAGGGGGGTGGTTGGGTAGCTCGCTGGTCACGCCGAAGCGCCGGGTTTGATTCCGGACATGGGTACAATATGTGAAGCCCATTTGTGGTGTCTTCTGCCATGATATTGCTGGAATATTGCTAAAAGCGGCGTAAAACCTCACTCACTCACTCGCTCACTAATGATAAAGGTATCCTGAGGGCTGGTAGAATTTCGAACATTTTGGGGATGTTCCTTTATGTTATCACTATTCTGGCTAGTAGACTTACTGGGTTAATTTCTATCCCTGACAATATGTTAAGTCCATTGTGGTGTCCCCTGCCGTGGAATATTGCTAAAAGCACCACATTACCCAACTCTCTCTCTCTCTCTCTCTCTCTCTCTCTCTCTCTCTCTCTCTCTCTCTCTCTCTCTCTCACTCTCTCTCTCTCTCTCTCTCTCTCTCACTCTCTCTCTCTCTCTCTCTCTCAACCTCTCTCAACCGTTGCCTACTCCAGACTCTGACTGCAGGAAAAATGCTCATTCTTCATTGTTATAGAGTATGTGTCATATCTCTACATAGACTGTCTAGTCAATACGAAGATCTTATAGCCTGAAGGGGAGATCATTCAATGTGAATTAGGGGAAGTTAATCCTGGGCAATATTAATGCCAGCCCGTGGGCAGCTGACATACAGTGACAAGACTATGAGGAGGCTGGCAAGTCGGTATTTTCTTGAAAAAAGAAAACATGTGTTGGTAATGATTTTCTGGAGGTAATAAACAGTTGTTAAAGGAAATCAATAGTGTCTACAAAAATATTTGATTGATATATATTTACTTTGGGATTGGACTTACTGTTTTACTGCCATCTGGTCAGGTTACCTCAGGTCTGTCTGTGTGTACATGACTTGGTGATCCTAGGGTAGGGTCATATATTATAGAGGGGGGGGGGCGCTTGGGGGCAGAGAGATTGAGGTGGGATGGGGGAAAAATGACAGCTGGGTGTTGCCCAAATTTATCACAACTATATTGGAGGAGGCCAGGATGAAATGACACAGTTCTGTTTTAGCAAATAGTTGATTTATTATTTATTTGAACATTATTAAGGGACTGGTAATTCAATAAAACGGGGGTGGTGATGGTTATGAAAAAATGTTAAATTGGTGTGTGTGTGCAGGAAATTTGATACAGTCCTGAGGCCAATCGCACTGGCACACCCACCCCTATAATAAATTACCATTCCCTTAGACACTTGTCGACCTGTGAAGATCTGGGTTAGAATAGGTCTACAGCAACGCATGCTTGCCATAACAGGCGACTATACTTGTCGTAAGAGGCGACTAATGGATCGGGTGGTCAGGCTTGCTGACTTGGTTGATGCATGTCATTGTATCCCAATTGCATAGATCAATGCTCATGATATCAATCAGTGGATTGTCTGGTCCGGACTTGATTATTTACAGACTGCCGTCATGAAGCTGGAACATTGCTGAGTGCGGTGTTAAAAAACAGAAGAAACAAACAAACAAGACACTTGTCTGATGACAGTGTCTAGTAAACTCAGCTAATAATAGTCCATTGACACTTGGATCTTCGGAAACTGATGCTAAGAGCCATGTTACGCCTTGTAGAGTCTATTCACCTGGGTGTATTCAGAGGCAGATAGTTCAGTAGGTCTACAGCAAATGTCAGGTTAGAATTCTCAACTTGGAATAAGAGATGTCCTAATGTTTTCCTAAGTAACGGTGACTTGTATTTCACTGATAAGGCAAGATAACTTGGATCCAGAGGATCAACACGACGCAAAGACATTTTGTAGCCTACCTGCCTATTGATGCAAGTACCTATCCTGTCATAAAGTGCACATGTATATCCCAGAAGGTACAATATATTGTTATTTGCATGTGGTACCTTTGGAATCAGGAATGAGAATATGGCACATTTCAGTTTAAATATTGATGTAATTTAGAAGTAGAAAACAAACATATTATGAAAACAAAACTAGTAATGTTTCCACAACAATGACTTCCTGAAACATTTGTTATTGTTTTCAAGGAACATGGGGTATTAAGTTGACACATTCATGGCAGTATGTGTGATACTGTTGACATTGGTATATCTTCAGTGGCAAAATTATTAATAATTTTTTATAATTAATCTTTGCGAAGTAATAGCTACATTGTTGTAATGTTATTTTATGATAAACGAGATCGGTGGAGAAGTGCAAATATTGTAAACTTGAAACCCACAATGTTCTGAGTGCAAGTTTTTTTATAACCATAAGCAAAAACAAATATAGCAGGGCACCTGGCGCTGTGCAATAAAGGCTTTAATGCCCAGTTTTACATTATTGCATTGTATGCTTGTACGGTGGCCCATAAGGGACATGGAGTCTGTTTTTCAATATTTTGATGTTTCACTTACTTTTATCGTTACCTTTTGCAAATTAACACAATTTTTCATACAAATATGTTATAAATCATGTATAAAAACAACCGAAACATGGAAAATGTACTTTCAAGTAGCTATTGAGTTGCTGAAATGTGAAGCGAAAATGTCCAAAACTAAATGGAAATGTCAAAAACTAAAATGGAAATGTCAAAAACCAAAACGAAAAGGTCAAAATCTAAAATGAAAATGTCAAAAACAAAAGCGAAAATGTCAAAAACTAAAATTAAACCACAGAAAACCATTTCCACCGCGGTGATAATATTTCCACTGCGGTGGAAATATTATCACTGCGGTGGGAATATTATCACTGCGGTGGAAATAGTTTTCTGTATATTCATTTTAGTTTTTGACATTTTCACTTTTGTTTTTGACATTTCCATTTTAGTTTTTGACATTTTCGTTTTTGTTTTTGACATTTTCGTTTCACTTTTCAGCGATTCAATATCTTCTTTATACATGATTTATCACATATTTGTATGACAGATCGTGTTAATTTGCAAAAGGTTTCGATAAAAGTACGTGAAATATCAAAATATTGAAAAACAGACTCCATGTCCCTTATGGGCCACCGTATGCTTGTGATAATACCATTGAATTTTACAAAGTCCCAATTTTGTACAACAAAGTTCCTTTTTTCCAACTTGACTGTCACTCACTTTAAGCTCCTCAATATACTGTGTAGATCCCCCTTGCTATTGGATATCCAGATGAGGTGTCAATATTCAGCTCGTTACTGTAATGATCAGTTGTGTGAGAAGACCAGATAAACCTCCCACACCTGTTACTGGATATCACCTTATCTTAGAATTGTGTATGAAGTTGTCAGTGGACAAGGAAATACTTCCGATTTCTATACACCACTGATAGCTCGTTCACCTGTTTTTACACCTGTCTGAATCAAGCATGGTTTAAACATTCACAGCTGTTCCCCCAGGTGTGAAAGGATGTTGGTTTCAGCCTCTCATGATTTGATATGAACTCACCATTTACTATTCTTGGGGAATGGTGACTTGGATTTTAATTAGATTTGTTTGTTTATTTGTTGTTTAACGCCGCACCCAGCAATATCCCAGCTATATGACTGTGGTCTCTAGATAATTGAGTTGGGACCAGACAATCCAGTGATTGACATCATGAACATTGATCCCAGCAATTGGGATACGATGACATGCATCAACCAAGTCAGCGAGCCTGACCACCCTATCCCGTTAGTCGTCTCCTAAGATAAGCATAGTCGCCTTTTACCGTAAGCATGGGTTTTCATGGGTCGATTTTAATTAGACACAGAATATGTTTTTGGTCACTGCTTCGAAGGACACATACTTATTCCTGTGAAAGGAGAAATCCTCATTAAAAGAATAAACTCACATTTATTTATTATTTATTCACAGGATGTTCAACCTGTCCAGCTAATACATTTTTCCTGCTTTGGACAAGTGACTGTTTGTTCTGTTTCAAGATCCATGGGACCTGTAGACATTCCCATTGAATAATAACTTGCTTAATTCCCTTTCCTTGTTTAATTCGTTCCTTTTGTATCTTCATGCAATTAATTTTTTGTCTTTTCAGGTATTTGCATAATTTGAAGTCCTGGTTTAAACAGAAGGTAAGCATGTCAGTTTTAAGTGTCTTTTCAGAAAATATTCAGGGTGATAACTGGAAACATGGTAATTAAGAATTAATCTAGTTTTTCAAAATGCAGTAGCCGGTTTAGTCAAACTTGAGTAGGCTCCATGTATGGAGTACTTTCTATCAGAAATCAGAGTTTGAAATTAAGCATGAAAGTCAACGGGTACTTGTCATGACCCAAATGTTGAATATTTGAGATTCAGGGGGTTCTTAGATTGACAGGGGCGGTCGGGTAGCCTAGTGGTTAAAGCGTTCGCTCGTCACGCCGAAGACCCGGGTTCGATTCCCGACATGGGTACAATGTGTGAAGCCCATTTCTGGTGTCCCCCGCCGTGATATTGCTGGAATATCGCTAAAAGCGGCGTAAAACCTTGTCACTCACTCTTAGATTGACATATGATGGACACAAATCTCAATTAATCGCCCCTTAATTTAGTACACGGTTGAGCATACTTTCCTTACTTACGTTTGATCGATTCTCTGTGTATCCGTGTCAGTGGGGTAGCCTAGTGGTTTAAGCTTCCGATCGTCACGCAGAAGACCTTGGTTTCGATTCGCCACATGGGTACATTGTGTGAAGCCCATTTCGGGTTTCCCTTGCTGTAATATTGTTGGAATACTCCTAAAAGCAGTGTATAACCATACTGTCACTCCACTCACTTTGTTTATCCCTGGGAAGTTTCAATCAAGTGAAGCCCTGCTTTTGTGTCTTGTACTAATTATGGGGCAGTCAGGTAGCCTAGTGTTTAAAGCTTTTGCTCGTCACGCCGAAGACCTGGGTTCGATTCCCGGCATGGGTACAATGTATGAAGCCCATTTCTGGTGTCCCCCGCCGTGATATTGCTGGAATATTGCTAAAAGTGGCGTAAAATCAAACTCACTCACTCACTGTACTATTTAACCTACATATAAGGAGGAGCCTATAAGCAGGGATTCAGTTGTATCATGGTTGTAAAATTATTGTAATCTGATTGTATACAGTCATATCATGATTGTTACATGTTATTTTCCAGATCAGCAAGGAGGATTTTGACCTGGAAGCAAGGAATTTGTTGAGAGAAGACGCAGGTAAGCTGTTGACAAGAAACAAGTCCCAAATCATTTTGATGAGAATGTTGGAGATTTTATGAATGCTTCAGCTGGAACAAATTTGACACCCAAATTGTCCTATGCTGTGAAGTCTAGAATCATGAGAATAAAAACATTAATACTCGGAAATGCTTGTTTTCACAATCTCTGTAAGATTTTCTGATGCTGCAATATAGGCCCTGCTCTTTCAGTTGAATGGTTAGGAAAAATTTTGTGTTCTTAACCTATTAGAGATCCCACATATCATCTCACGGGTCAGTTGTGAGCTGAGAATCCATGAGTCTCTCTTTGTCTGTTGCAGTGCACCTACACAATGAGTTTCTCCTGGCCATCATTGCCCGGTGTCAAATCAGCAGTGCTACCACAGGTAAGGGGAGGTCACTCTCCAGATATTTCTCTGTCAGTCACAGCCAAGAACTCAGGTTCATGATTTAAGCTTTCTAAGTGCATGTTTTGTCTGAACAGATGCTCAGATGTTGTTGGTCACTCTAGGAGTGAAAGATCTGGAATATTTGCTGTCAATGTATTATGTATGGTATATGTTTATGCTTCAGTATCAAAAGAAAAGTCACAGTCAAGCTCGACTTCAACTCCCACCAAACTCAAGAAGGGCAAGATCAGAAGAAAAATACCTGGAGGCCGTGCAAATCTTCAGGTGAGCAGTATATACAACATAATAATAACTTGACAAATACAATCAAAGTATGTTCTACCTCCAAACATTAACCCCTTCAATGTATCCCCTCAATCGCTTATTATTAACTAGACCGCCTCCGTGGTCTAGTGGTAGAGCACCCGAACACCCAGCAGGTCTGGGGTTCGATCCCTAAAAGCGACATACCAAAAGATGTTAAAAGATGGTACTTGTTGTTACCCTGTCTGGCGCCTGGCATTAAGGGACTAAAACAAGGACTGGTAGGCTCATGAATCGAATCAGTCCGGACTAGTGCATGCACTATGCTATATAAGTGCAATAATGTTGGACGCAACATTAAGCCCCATTTCACCTCGCCTCATTATTAACTACCAGCAATGTTAAAATACCTTTGAATTTAAAAAAAAATTAAGAACTTAAAAAAATCCCATTTTTTCTCCATTTGTCTGTGGCACTTAGTTTGTAATCCCGGATCAATCTCTGATTTCTTATCAGTTTAATTCGGAAGGTTTTTATTGCAGCCATTATTGTGTTGTTTTTTATTTTACCATTTACATTCTTCCAGCAACGCTTTGTCCCAGTCAACCCAACAAGTCATGCTCACAAGGTGACCACGCGATCTGTTGATGACGGAGTAACACCCTTAGGTAAGAATGTCAATTTTCCTTTCACCAATACCTGTACACATTTATCAAATAAAACACGAGCACTTAAGTAACATTTATAAACATAAGTTCTATAAGTAAATCCTTATGTATATATAGATATGTAAGATAGCTATGCGATAAATAGCAAAGAACAATGAAGAACGAACTGTGGTTTATTTCGTGATAAAACATCATTTCTCCAGATTTGAATATGTGCTCACAACTTGATGATGTCATATATTGGGCGACGTTATTTTTGAGAGGGATGTGTCGAGTGAGTAGTTCCCCATAGCCTAGCAGCGTAGATAAACACAATGGTCAAATGATCGCATCCAAAAGTGTGACAAATATGATAATCAGTATAAGGATCAGATAATCGACGTCAGAATTGTGAGAATAGGCGGGAAATACCAATACCAAACTCACCTGTTCATAAAATGGACTTGTCCAACATTGCCGAGCTCAGATTCCATTCAGGGAGTCGAGTAATACGAGTAAATATTTTTGAGGCTTGTACATTTTATTAACATTCTTAAAGAGGCTATACATTATGTTGAGATTTCATGTAAGAAATAAACAACTCGTGGTCAATGTTTATCTAACAATAAAACACTGCAGGGAGAATAAACCACTTGGGGCTGCGCTCCTCATGGTTTATTCTCCCTGCAGTGTTTTATTCTACGATATATACAATTCCCATTTGCCATTTATTTCTTAAGTAAAGATGGCGAGGCCTGTGTTTGATTTTCCACTATGTACAATGTGTGACAGGTCATGTCTGGTATCCACCGCCATGAATTGCCATGAAACATACTCTATCACTGTCACTCTGTTGTGTGTGATCCACACCCAGATTTTCAGTGGATTAGTGATTGTTGTGTTAAACTGGAGTGAGTGATTAGGATTTTATGCCACTTTCAGCAATATTACAGCAATATCACGGCATGGGGCACCAGAAATGGGCTTTACACATTGTACCCATGTGGGGAATTGACAAGCGAATGCTTTAACCACTAGGCTATCCCACCGTTCCTGTTAAACTGGACCAAAGTTTTTGTGTATTGGCGAGTGTTGTGTTAAACTGGCCACATTTCAGTGGATTAGTGAGTGTTGTGTTAAACTGGACCACGTTTTATTTGCCAGGCTTCATGTCCCGGGACTGCCTGCTGCCGGACATATCGCTGATGCATGGTCGGATGTTGGTGTGTGCATGGGAGTCCGACCTCCAGGACGTTTCCTCCATCACTGTCAAGATACTCATCCAGGCGGTCGAGGTAGGGACAGTCCCAACCCTTACCATGTTTATACCTGTGGGCAGGACAGGCACCTCACAGCCTTTGCTTGCCACAAGGGGCACCTGTGTGGCTCCCTGTCGGGATTCTGTGACACAATATATCCTAAGTACCCCGTGCTTGGTTAGAGGCAACTGATGATGATTGGGGGGTTGCCATTGTTACGATGTGTGACCATGCAGGTTTTGTTTCATTGTATCACCTCTGTGGTCTTGTGGATGGTGCATCTGCTCGGAGAGACGGGTGTCGGTGGTTTGATTTCCGAGACCAGTGAACAAAGAGACATAAAAGATAGTCTCCTGTCCATTCCCACTTAAAGATTGAAATAGATATTGCCATTAGTATCAAGAGACAAGGTAGAGACAATTTTATGGATAACAACTTCTTGAATACTGTAAAAAGCTTGATGGTATCAAGTGTGAAATAATTATATCTATTTAGAATTAGATACTTCCTCTGTGGGATTGGGACATACAAATCTGTTTAGACTGCCTCCATGGGCTAGTGGATGGATTGTCTGCCCGAAGAGCGTTAGATTGGTGGTTCAATCACCTGGCTGCATCACCCTGCCTGGTGCTTTACATTAAGGGACTAAAACAAGGACTGGTCGGGTCAGAGTCTCTATACTGTGTCTGAATGGGGTATTCATGTTAAACTGCAGCATGGTATCACAGTGGGCTAGCACTATAAACCAGCAATCGTCTGGACTAGTACAAGCAGCCACACACTCGCAGACAAACACATGCATGCATGTCCCTATGTAAGTCCAATAGTCTTGAATGCAACTTTAAACCTCATTTCAACTCGCCTTTATTGTACCCTGATGGCGTGGATCTCTGCAAACCTTGCTTTTTTTGGTCCCAGATTGCAGAGTTGTCTGACATTCACTCTATCTTTCTTTCCATAACCTGTGGGATTTTTGGGGCAAATCAGTCACCCCAATCATCTATAGTGCTGACAGACTCATTTCCTCAATCACATTAAACCTGTTGTAATCACATTTATTTTTATCAAATTCTGATGGTAAAGATCTATTGCTGATTATCCATTGCCTACTTTCAGACTCAGCTTAAGAATATTATTTCTCTGGTACTGGCGCGGCGAAGTGGGTTCAAGTTACGAGAAAAGAAGTTCCGCTACGGCCTGGGCGCCCAGATACCAAACCCATACTTGCGTCAGACCCAGCTCATGGATCAGACAACTTCAGAGAGGTACTTCAGTTTGACTTATTTCACTATAAATAAATTGCAAGCGATTGTGTGACATTTGATGGACTAACCAAACAATTCTCTTTGCGTTTCCATAACCAGAAAACAAGTTTTACCTTACCTGACGTTACACCTATAGACTGTGTAGCGTCAGGTAAGTATAAAAATATTGCATTTAATCAGAAATGCTCATATTTAGGCCATGCCCACTAACAGACTACTGTTTCCTGATTGGCTGATAATAGATAATGGGCGGGATTTGTGTTGAGTTATTTGAGGTTGACTTATTTCACAGCAGTCCGTAGGGATTTCTGGTATGGAATATAGGTCCCAGCAATCTCACCCAAGTGTCTTTTGACATAAAATATATCAACACTTGTTGATGTAAGTTTAAAACTCCTTGGCAAGTTTCAGAGTATTAAACTTTTATTGACTTGGGTTGATATATTTGATATCAAAAGACAATCAGTTTAATTCTCTATTTTGAAAATATTTGGTTTCCATTGACTGTAACATAACATAAAATATCTTACTCTTCGTTAAAGTAGTTTTATGGGTCGGGTGGTCAGAGTGTGATTTGATTGATGGCATGTCATTGTACTCAGACGGCATGGATCGATGCTCACAACATCAATCACTGGATTGTGATCAGGCCACCATCATATAGATAGAATATTTGCTGAGTATAACGTTAAACAACAAACACAGACTCATGCATGAAATATATTCAAGTTGTAAATAAGTCCATTGCTCGATATGGCCTGTCCCTTAATGATATGACCTGTTTCCATTGATGACTTGTGTCCCCACAGCTACGCCACTGCTGTAACTCTGACGGGCCACCACGCTCCCAGCATCAAGTCCTCCATGGATGTCGGGGAGGAGGTGGCCATGCACCACCTAGCCACTTCCCACCAGCCAGCCGAAGACATGGGCCCCATCAACCTGTATGATCTGCTGGACGCTCTGAAGGTGAGCTGGAGGGCAGGACTCTCCGAGTCTGAGGGAGTACAGTGAGTGAGTGAGTGAGTATGGTTTTACGCCGCTTTTAGCAATATTCCAGCAATATCACGGCGGGGGACACCAGAAATGGGCTTCACACATTGTATCCATGTCGGGAATCGAACCCGGGTCTTCGGCGTGACGAGCCAACGCTTTAACCACTAGGCTACCCAACCGCCCCCTGAGGGAGTACAAGTCTCCAGTCCATTCCCACTTAAAGTTTAAAGTAGATTTGGTTATTACATTAAATGGAGAATCTCACCTAAGTGTCTTTTGATATCAAATATATCTACACGAGTCTATAAATGTTTTTAATTTTTATTGAAGGGTGTTGATATATTTGATATCAAATGACACAAGGGTGAGATTCAATTTATCATCCAACATCATTCTTGCAACTTTTTCAACTTTTAGACAGTAATAAGCAGTGCCTTAAGTGTAAAACGTACTGCTAACAGCTTCAGTAGCAGAGCCATTAGAGCAGATGTAATTTGATTGTGACATCATGGTAACCAATGGTAACAATGGTCTGCAAAGCATTGTGATGCAATTTTAATGCAGCGATATCTACAATGAAGATATCACTTGATCTCACCTAAGCCATATCTCCTGTGAGAGCCAGGTTTGGATAATAAACTATGGTTATAACAAACTGACAGGAACCAGTAATTATAGTTTGTAATGACTGTAGTTTGTTAATCGCATATATACAGCATATAAACAGCGAATGGACGGAGCCAAATTACAGTTTGTTATAACTGTCAGTTCGTTATAAGCATGTTTGTTATGAACATAGTTTACTGTAGTATTAAGTGTGAAATAATTATATTTATGTAGATATTGCCTCTGTGGGATGGGAATATACAAATCTTTCCACTTGGTTTCACACATGCACACTCAAATATGTGTACACATGTCGCTATATAAGTGCAATAATCTTGAAAGCGATGTTAAACACCATTTCACCTCACCTCATTAGGTTTATTTCAGGACTGGGGTTTTAGGGTTTTCAAATTTTATACATGTACTGTTTAAACCATAGTTAACATTATTAATTTTATAGAGAGTTTTCTCCCGTGCATTTCAGCTGTATCGCAGCAGCATCCCATCCCATTCGGTGTACGCCCCCGCAGTGGAGCGCATCCTGCATCGTCTTTGGCATCCCAGCATAGAGGAGGTGGAGCAGGAGAGCATCCACCAGCAGGAAGTCTACCTCAAGCAGCAGCTAGCCAATCAGCAGTTACCTGTCCGATAAACAGCCAATCAGCAGTTACCTGTCCGATGAACAGCCAGTCAGCTGTTACCTGTGCAATAAACAGCCTATCAGCAGTTTGTTTATTAGCTCACCTGACCTGAAAGGCATATATCATGTCGTCCGTTGTTTGCGTTGGCGTCCATAATCCATTTACATGAGATCTGTGTGGATGCTTCTTACTCTTGTTCAAGGCATCAAACTTGGAATTTTAATAAATATTGAAAATCTTTTCAAAAGGGTCAGAGGCCTGAAACTTGGTGGGTTAGATGGTCACCTTGTGTAAGACACAGGCTTTTGTAAGACATCTTGATTCTAAATCAAATATGGCTGCCAATAGCCATATTGGAAAATACAGAAAATAATTATAGGTTGCAAACACCTCAGAAAACACTGGACCTATGAAGCTGAACTTCAGATGCTTGTTCCCACCAAGGATGGCACCTAAATTTGTTCAAGAGGTTCGAATCCAATCTTTGCAATACTGCATGCATGGCCAGTTGTGGGGCTTGTATTTTGCAATATTTTGAACACTGGCCTTGGTTTGACTGTGCACTTCACCATAATGAAAGCTGTGGTTGTAAGTGAATTTTTTCAAGAGGTTTGAATCTGATTTTCAATATGATTGCCACGGCAGCTATGTTGAAAGGCCTAATTATGTTAGTAAATCTTTTTAGTGGCTGTCTTTGTTGACATTTTAAACTGTTGACTACATGTCCAGGTGAGCTGTGGCACTATTTTTAGTTGACATCTAAATTCATGGTATTTGCTTACAGACTGCTAAACTTTAAGGGTGACTTTTTGCTCGTTGGTCAATGGTAGGTCTAGATGTGGTATTAAGTCTCATGTGTTAGATAGAGACAGTGCTATTAGGGAGTTGATTAACTGTTACATTGATACTGTCTATCTTGGAAAAAACGCGGTCGTGAATTAAATGCGAACATTCTTTGCTCGCATTAATTAACTTCGCATTGATGTCTCCAAATGACTATAAACAATAAGACGGCCTCACTTTGGATAGCGGAAATACCAACTTGAATATAAACACAAACACGGTTTATTGAGCAGCAGTTGTAACAAGTATATAACAATGTCATTCAAAGAATAGGAATTACACAATGGGCAACCAGAGAGTTATCACTGCTCGGATCAAGAGTTCTACCCACTCGTCTTGACACCTTCTCGGCATACCAACCAGTGAACTGTGGTTGATTCAATTATTTTATTGCCTTTGAACTTCCTTAATGCCAGTCAGCAGAGTAAACATATAAACTGTGTGATGTTTAAAGGAAAACAGTTTATAGTTTTTACAGAAGTGCTCCACTCAGTGCTAATAAGCAGTGCTATTTGCTGTTTGATTGGATTAAGGTAAGGATATGTATCATTCCACTGGGGATGGGGTGGGGGGAGTCGCATTGATATTGAGTCACATTTTTGGCTAGGGGTCAGCAGTCGTATTATTTTGGAGACGCATTAATTTCCAGATATACAGTATACGTCAGTAACATAGCAGACAGACATGGAAAGTTTTGAAAGACAAACCTTGCTGGGACTGCAAGCTGATCTATGCCTAATCATTCTTTAAGCAGAACTCTGCACATGCCCTTCTCAGTACTATTCAATGGGACTGTTATTTCATCACGTAATTAAAATGACTGAATAATAGTCAAGGTGGTTTTTATTTCAATATGTCTGCCTTTGTGGCCATATTGAAAATCGGATTAAAAACTCTTGAACAAAGTGGAGTGTTACACATGCTTTTCTGCAAATATGGAGTTTTGTACAATGAAGCTGTGGTCCCATAATATTGATGTGCAGAAAGACAATTCATTTCACACGATGGACAGCTCGATAGTAATGAAGTGAAGTATCTGAATACTTGAGTCAGTAATATTCAAGCTACCTGGGTGATACAGGTATTCCTACTCACTATTTCTGTCCATCTGCTCTGGTATTTGCTGGCTTGTCTGGTGAAGAATTGTATTGTGTACATAGATGTCAATAAATGTGTTTCATACTTACGTCAGAATCTTAATTCTTTTTTAATTTTTAGTTGTTACAAATTCAGACCATCAAGCAATCTTGGTGTTACAACTGTCATTAGTGGATGTGAGCTATGATCATCTTTTTGCCACAACCATTGTATGTCTACATTAGTGTATGAGAGTTACGATCATCTTAGTGCTACAACTAACCTAAGTCTTTGTATATTGGGGGTGGTCGCGTAGCCTAGTGGTTAAAGCATTCGCTTGTCACGCCAAAGACCCGGGTTCGATTCCTGACATGGGTACGATATGTGAGGCCCATTTCTGGTGTCCCCCGCCATGATATTGCTGAAATATTGCTAGGAGCTTTGTAAAATCAAACTCACTCACTGTATATTATTGGAGTTAAGGGTTCTTTGTGGAATGGGTCTCTGATGCATTGTTTCCCTGTTGTACAGAAGTGCGATGCAATCACTGGTTGATGCTGGTCTCACCTTCTTGGAGAATGTGGGCGCTATTATTTGGTACCCCATGATTGGGAGAATCCATGAACATGGTCGCCAAATGTACAGGTGATATGGCTGTATACTGACAACACAGTATGTTCATCTCTTTGGTGTTAAGGGGCAGTCGGGTAGCCTAGTGGTTAAAGCGTTTGCTCGTCACGCCAAAGACCTGGGTTCGATTCCTGACATGGGTACAATGTGTGAGGCTCATTTCTGGTGTCCTCCGCCATGATGTTGCTGGAATATTGCTAAGAGCTTTGTAAAATCAAACTCACTCACTGTGTATATTATTGGAGTTACGGGTTCTTTGTGGAATGGGTCTCTGATGCATTGTTTCCATGTTGTACAGAAGTGCGATGCAATCACTGGTTGATGCTGGTCTCACCTTCTTGGAGAATGTGGGCGCTATTATTTGGTACCACATGATTGGGAGAGGCCATGAACATGGTCGCCAAATGTACCGGTGATATTTCTCTATACTGACAACACGGTATGTTCATCTCTTTGGTGTTAAGGGGCGGTCGGGTAGCCTAGTGGTTAAAGCGTTTGCTCGTCATGCCAAAGACCTGGGTTCGATTCCTGACATGGGTACAATGTGTGAAGCCCATTTCTGGTGTCCCCTGCCGTGATAATGCTGGAGTATTGCTAAAAGCGGCGTAAAACCATACTCACTCACTCTTTGGTGTTGGTGAAGACAAGACTGACGTGTTGTGTGACATGGCTGATGTGTCGTGTGACATTGCTGATGGAATTAGAGACTCACTGATGATCACCTTTAAACAAATAATGTTTGCTCTATATTCATTTTGTTTTTTTATCAATACTAATATGCACAACTGAGTGTTTATTTGAGTATTTGATAAAGGATTACGGCAGAGTGATTGTTCAGTGCCAGATTTTCTGTGCAAATTTCTAACGTAGACTGAGGAAGTGCGAGAATCTGGAATAGACAAAAGCGGGATTACACAGATTATTTAATGACATCACTTCAATCTGCCCGGACTAAATTATGATGTATTGCCACATATTTTTATCATTCTTCAACTCGTACCTTTTTTAATATCAATTTGTCTACCATTCACAATTGAGAGAGAAGTCCTTTCCTGTAAATTCTAGTTTCCTTCAAATCAGCAGCTTCAATCAGAGGTATGCTAATATGATCATAACCTCTGATCAGACTGGACGGTCGGGTAGCCTAGTGGTTAAAGCGTTCGCTCGTCATGCCGAAGACCCAGGTTTGATTCCCGACATGGGTACAATGTGTCAAGCCCATTTCTGGTGTTCCCAACCGTGATATTGCTGGAATATTGCTAAAAGCGGCATAAAACCATACTCACTCACTTACTCTGATCAGACTGGTTATGTTACTGGGGTGGTTACCAAAGGTCTGGGTTCGATTCCCCACATGGGTGCACCAGTAAAGCTGATTTCTGGTGTCCTGCTTTTGCTGGAATATACTAAAAGCGGTAGAAAACCCAACTCACTCACTCACTCACTAGTTATGTTACTCTTGTGGCCATACAGTTCCGTGATGGAATTCAAACCTTGGACCTTCTGATCCGAGTGAGTGAGTATTATTTTACGCCGCTTTTAGCAATATTCCAGCAATATCATGGCGGGGGACACCAGAAATGGGCTTCACACATTGTACCCATGTCGGGAATCGAACCCGGGTCTTCGGCGTGACGAGCGAACGCTTTAACCACTAGGCTACCAGACAGCCTCCTGATCCGAGGTCGGATGCCTTGTCAACATGACCGAAGATGTTAACCCTGTTTGCAAGCTGAAAAGGTAAGGGTGTCATATATGGGATGACTCAAAGCCTTGCTGCATACACCTGTCAAAAGAAGGCACATCCCTGGCTGCATAGTAGAGTACTGAGACATATTTTGTTCAAACTGAACTTGACCATGATCAGTCCCACATTGGGCGCCAGTGTAGTGGCCATAGAATTTTCAAGATTTGAACCAAGGACCTGATCTGAGGTCGAAAGACTTGTCCGCATGTCCAGAAGTTCATCCGGTCAGGTAGCTGACAGGGTGAGGATGTCTTCTCTGCGATGACTCCAATCCCTGCTACATTACCGAATCATGCTGGAATTTGGGTTAAAAGCTGCTTTGAACTGTAATTTGGTAAAGTAATGTGATGTCATCTTGATGGAGGAGTAAAAGTCCTGACACAGACAGGTATGGTGCAGACAAACCATGCAAGTACCATAATCTGGGATTCGAACTCACAGCTTAACTTTTCTGGCAGCCAAGGAACAGAACCCTGCACAGCAGGTTAACGTGATATACAATCTCATTAAAATCAGATATAGTTCACGCTGCTGCCAAACAAAGATATGAGGACCTCCCATTACGGGTCACGTCAGAGCAACCTTTCGTGAACTTTGACCGACCACTGAAATGACTAACATGAAGTCGATATCAGCCAATCAGAAAGCAGCTTTCTCGAGCTTTACGGCACTGGTTTCAACCTGGTGACTTCCATTTCAGACTACGCTTGAAAAATATGTTGACACAGTTCTCGGTAAAAAATTTGAAAACTGAACAAACGAACATTCCGGAATGTCTAATATATGGTTGAGATTGTATGGCAGTACTTCCCATGTACTGTGCAATGCCTCCTTCATTTCAAATGTTTATCCCACAGAAGCGAGAGATTGACGATAATTTTGACGGAATCAGTCGTACGGGCCGTAACTGTCGTTCGGAATACCCCGTGTTAACATTTTCGAGGTTGCATGATTAGAAAGCAGATTCCGACTGTAACTTTCATGATCTGGTAAGCGACGCTTTGATTGGTCGGATGAAAGGTCGTTCTGACGTGACCCGTAATGGGATGTCCTCAGATCTTTGTGTAGCGGCAACGAGAACTTAGATCTGATTTTACTGAGACTGACATGGTATGTTTACATGGATTCTTACCATGTTATCAGGCTGGATAACAGAAGATCTACATCGAAACGTCGTGGCCATATGCAATAAACCAGAAGTTGTTATCCATAAAGATGTACGTTTTCTTTAGCCTCGTTCATGGTGGTGTCGTTAAACCCTAGCTCTCCCAGCAGCTCGATATAGTATAAATCTTAACTTGTGGCAGAACAGCGAGGGACAGTCTGACAGCTGGGGACTCGGCATTGACCAACACGACTATAACCATGAGGGAAAGTTAGATTCTAATTTAAGCATATTTCTCCCCGACTCAGTTATTTGACATATGTTTCTGAACGTTATTGACGGGCTGTTGGCAAATCTCACTTCTCATCATTCCGACTGTTATTAGAACAATTTGATATTTTCTTCCTTGCTTAAACAATGGAAAAAGATATTGGAAAAACATAGAATATCTACTAGTATTTAAATATTACACACGTCACGCTTTTCTAGCAGACCGCCTCCGTGGTCTAGTGGTAGAGCGTCCGCCGCGTCATACCAAAAGATGTTAAAAGATGGTACTTGTTGTTAACGTGCCTGGCGCTCGGCATTAAGGGGCTGAAACAAGGACTGGTCGGCTCGGAGTCAGTATACTGTGTCTGAGTGGGATATTTATGTTAAACTGCGGCATGGTATCTCAGCGCTAGCGCTATAAATCGGCATCAGTATGGACTAGTACAAGCAGTCATACAAACACGTCGATATATAAGTACAATAATCTTGGACGCGACGTTAAACCCCATTTCACCTCACCTCACCTTTTCTAGCAAAACGTGTTAAGCAATTTGGTCGTTTTTCAGGAGGCGCTCTGTATGTGCGCAAGACGTTTGTCCAGTACACGACAAGAATCCACAGTGACTGGGATAACTGTGTGTACGTGAGGCTTGAGTCTGACATGGAACCTGGCATCCTGGGTGCATGCACTGTAATGTCTTTATCGCGATCAGAGGTTAGACAACGGCAATGATCAACTTGAGACTATGATATCTTGGACTAAGTCGGAGTATGATAAAGACATTGACATAGTTCTACATGGGGACCTTATACGTGAACTGCATCCCAGGATGATTTCATTTTAGTTTGTTTGTTGTTTTACGCCGCACTCAGCTATATGACGGCGGTCTGTAAATCATTGAATCTGGACCAGACAATCCAGTGATTGACATCATAAGCATCGAATCCACGCAATTAGGATCGATGACATGCATCAACGAAGTCAGGGAGCCTGACCACCTGATCCCGTAAGTCGCTTCTTACGACAAGCAGAGTCGCCTTTACAGCAAGCATGGGTTGCTGAAGACCTATTCTACCCCGGATCTTCACGGGATTTCATTTTAGAGAATGAACGTGATGTTGAATTGTGATGCTGGATCTAGGAGAGATGTAGGAAGAAAATATGTTCTGTGAACTAAGGATATCACAAGATTAGAAAACAGATAAATTTTGTTTGTCATTTTTAAATATATGTAAACAGTGGGGACTTTAATGGTGAATGGAAGGAAACCGGACGTGAAAGGTTGTTTTACGTTCACAGGCCAAAATTTGACAAGTTTGATAAGTATGTGTATTCATGTTTTGCCACAGGAGTTTT